TGTCACTGCAGCACTGTAACAAGGCAGACAAGGGCAGGTGGATATCAGTGCTTTTTATCAAACAGAAAATGCTAAGGGCAGGAATATAAATACATACATAGTCTGTAAATGACCATTTGCTTACTAAAAAGGGCAGGAATTTGCAAAGTTGTCATCAGAGTGATTGGCAAACTACAGGAACAACTGGAGAGTGTTTCAATTAGATAAATTATGTAAAATCTGGATTAAATCCACTTGCCTTTGGTGACTTTTAAACACTGGTTGAGGAGTAACAATACACTGCATCTTTCATTTTGAGAGCTCAAAGAGCTTAAATAGTGTTTACATGTCAGTAAGAGCAGAGAAGGGGATAACCTAGGGAGACCAAGGGACAGGAAACATGAACAGCCACAGGGACCTGACAAAACGCCCCGATGTGCAGCCTGTGTTCTCCTGACTGAGAACACTCCATCCATTGCAATTCTATGCTTCTAAGGCTGAAACAACGCAGAGAAGAGAGAAAGAAATTTCAGGTGATCACAAGTAATAGGAACTCTGTTCCAAAGTAGATAGGTAACCCAAGAAAGGTGAATACGTACGAAGACAGACATTGGAAAAGACACATAAAGAATTAAGAGGAAAACTGCAATTATTAAGAAGCAGTTTTATCAAATGCCTTCAAAAATTATTAGTGAACAAACAGCAACTACGTTACGATCTACTAACACAAGAGCTATGACACTAGCCCTAAGCATACAAGCTCTAGATATGTATGTACCACAGAGGCTGACTTTGATTTGGGTTGGGTTAACAAGGAGCAGCATCCAAAAAGGAGAGAATTGTGCTGGCAGTTCGTTCATTGTCCTCCTCCTACTATTCCCCGTGCTTTTGATTTGTATAGCACTATCTGGAACTGAAGTAACTAATTAAAGTCAAGTTAGATACAATGCATGCCCCAATGCAAGAGGAAGCAGGAAGACAGGTTTACTTCATAGTATTTAAAATAGCAACCATATTTGTAAGATTCATATTTCTAAGGATTAGAAGATAAAAAGCTTTCCGTGATGTGATGCTTGTAGATATACATAGGCTTTGATCATTAGCAGAAATGGTTTGTGTCAGTACAGCAGGTGGAACTTTCATCGCTTTTGAAATACACAATATACTGAAAATGCAAACATATCACAGGGAAAAAAGACATACAGCTGAATACAAGGGCAGCTCTCTGCAAAAGCTATTTCATACACAGTGTCACACAGCAACTAAGGAGCCTGCCAACTCTTGAAGTGACAATAAGCTACCACAGAGACAACACAATCTGCTCATAGATTCATTTCCCTTCCTCCTAAAGCCCAGTGCTGCTTTAGAAACCAAAACTGCTGTGTAGTGAACTTAATCAAATGCTACTGGGCAGAAGATTTTTGTTGTTCTTTTTTCCTAAGAATGGGAGCCTGCAGTGACCTATGGCTGGCAAGTACTATTGGATCCTGAGGTGGTCATAGTGGGCAGATGCAGCCGAAAAGAAAATGATCGTCAGAATTTTACTGTTGCCACTGACATGACAGTATTTCCCTTTGCTAAACAGAAGAGAGAATTAGCCACAGCCTGTTCCTCCAATTTCTCCTTCAAGAAAAACCTTTTTTAGTCTCAGATTCTATAGCTGTGGGGAGAGACTTGAGCAAGGGGAAGGTTTATTATTTTTTGGTGCATCGCATTAAATGGAAGGCAGAAAAACACAGGAAATAGTATCTATTGCAATCTGAGGCTTAAACATATTTGATAGTATATTCAACAGCTTTGCCTGTCTCACAGCCCCAGGCAAAAACATGCCCCTTTCCCTGCTGTTCCTTCATTTCATGCTATAATGCTTCCAATTCTCCTTTTAAAAAGAATTATGCACATTATCTACCTGTTGCACAGAATCTCCTTCCTATGGCCACTCATAACCTTTGCAGATGCTGCTCCATCATTATTAGTAAAAGCTCAAGTCATTTGGTCCAGGGAGGAAAAGCATCTGGGAAATGTGCCTCGAGAAGAAGTTAAAAAAAGAAGGCAAATTCTTCTTGCTAAATACTATTTAAAAGGATGTTTGGGAGCTGGAATGAAAACTGAAGGAAACAATATGCAGAAGGAAGTTTTCTAGATTTTATTTATATTTTTTGCTACGCTGCATAGTTTTGTCTTCACAGTTTCATTTAATTAATCAAATACAGTTCTATTTAGCCCATCTGCATCTCTGAATGTGTCCTCTTGACATTACTCTCTTGATGTTCCTCCACCATTTCAGACTGATGAAACTGCAAACATCTTCCCCATTTCTGCTAACCACTCCTCTCTCCTATCCTCATACAAAACCCACTTCCCTATCTTCTCTTAATTTACTGAACAATTACATTTTTTCTCATGCCAGGTCCTTCCTGACAGTCCCCTTTATGATACTTTGTAGAATCCAAATGAATGTGGAAACACACAGATTGCTTCAGGACCACCTTAGAATTTTATGACTTCAGAACTGGTCCTTTCCCTAATGTCAAAGTATTAAGCTCACCTAAGTTGAACTATTCATGGGTGCGATCCTGACACTGTCTGAGAACCTTTACTCCCACAGAGCTCACTCTTTCTGTGCATCTTCATCACTTCTCAAAGGCCAAAGACCAGGTCAGGATAAAATCCCTCACATTGCTTCCTTAACCAACCCCTCATATTGACTGTGTTTTCCCACACAAAACCATCTTTCTGACCATTGACATGTACTAAATGTATTAAACAAACTACATGAAAATATCAGGATCCCGAAACAAAAACCCTTTGAGAAAAGAGATGCACATTTACAAAAGGATTTTAAATAAAAAATTCTTTTCTCAAACACTGAACAAAAGATGTACAAACTAGACGGGGAGAATCCCACAGCCAGCAAGGACACTGACACGTTACTAAGCGTTGCCATCCCAGTGGGATTGTGCAGGCTCATCCCTGAGTAACACAAAGCACTGCTCAACAGTCTGACTTTGAATGATGGAGATTCATACCTCATGGACTTTTCTGCACAGAGACGTGCTGCATTAAATCCAGGGATGAAACATATTCCTCCAAATGAAAACATGGAAAATTTCTGCTAAATGCCAAGTCTGAAGCAGCCATGATTCAAAGGGACAACTTGAGCAGAACAGGTGCCAAGGATGTCTGTTCTCTGGATTGATTTACAAACTAAGATTCTTCTAAACCATTAGACGTTCCCCCCGTCTCATGTGAGCAGACAGTGAGTCGAGTTCAATGTATCTCATCGCCATCTGGAAACTCTACAGGCAAGGATATCTTCTCTATTGAGCTTTTGAATAGAATTAGTTTTCATCCAGCTGAAATCTTTGTTCTGAAGCTGTACAATCCCTGCTCTCCTCCTTCATAAGTCAGGTTTATGCCTTTTCCATGTGGTTTTGATATACTCGTAGAACTGGAGACCAAGGGAAAAACAGCCTAATGCCTCAAGGAAAGGACCCCCAAGATAAGAACTCACACAAAATATTATTCTCAACATCACCAGGTACTGCGTTCTGCATTGTTGCTCTTCTTAGCTACGACCTTTTGTAAGTGATATCAGATGGTGTCTGCCTTACCCAATAGCCTGTACCATTGTTCAAGGCATGCATGCACATACATAACATTAATGTCTCTAGCCTATTAATAAGAGCAGAAGAAAATAACAATGGCAAATTGGGTACAGATTTAAGCTGATCTGTTTCTGCAGCCTGCTTTCCTTTCTAAATTATATTTATGCATTTTCATTTCCAATTTCTTTAAATATGAATATTACTGACTAATTATCTTGTTACTACGATGGACACAACCCCAAAACGTAGATAAAAGTATGTTACAATTTCAGTCTTGGTTATAAATTTTGTGGCTTGAATCACAAGTGATTTGACTTTAACAAGCATGCCCAAGAAAACCTGACTGCAAATGAAGCTATCTTTATTTTATTTTCCCCATAAAGAGAAGGTTTAGCTCAGCATATTGCTTGCAGAGATACACAAAGCACAACGGCTTGTTTTGGGCTGCTGCCATTCAGTTTCATGCTGCATCCCCATCTAGAGTCATTAATCTTTTACCACCAGGAACCCAATTAATCATGGTTTTAGGTTTTTTTTTTTTTCAGAAGAAAAAGACAAAAATCATAGTAATTTTTATAGAAAACACTGCAAGGTACTCCATCAATAACAGTCATTTTTCTTCTCAGTACACACTAATAGATTTGCTCACTGAAACCTGCTTGTCTTTACAGTATACAGAAATGCAGTAATCTAAAATACATGTAACCAATAGAAAAACCACATGAAGAAGCAGTCTGGGTTAGTTGTGCTGTGTAAGGCAATAAATGTCCTTTTACTGACAGCTGGACCATAAACAAAGAATGGATAGGGTTGAGAAATAGGTGTTTATATAACTTTGGAGGTTATTTTCAGGTGGAAACATTTTTCCATCTAGCTCACAACACAAAATCTTTGCCTAAACGATGATGCAAGTTTTGATTCAAAACTTACTAAAACCAAAAGTCTGAGAACTTACTGGAGCTCAGCTCTCATTAAGGTCAACAACAGTTCTGCCTGAATACAAATGACGATCCAGCCACCTTCCACCCCTTCAAAATATGACATTTGCCACATGGATTCATATACATCTTCATTGTTTTCCTTAGACATTTTATAACCTAGTAATTCATTAGAATTAAATGTTACAAGCTTTTCTCTTTTTTTCTTTTCTTTGTTTTAAAGAGACACACAAAAGACAGCTATAGACTGCCCCTTTTTTTTTTCCTTTTCTTTTTTCTTTCCTCTTTTTTTTTTTTTTAATCCATAAGGTAATTGGCTTTCTGGAGAACTAACTGAATTTTCCAAATTTAATTTATAAAGATGCTCCATAATATCCATTATAGCAAACACTGTCCTGCAGATTCGATTAGTAGGCTCTCTGGACCTGCTTATTTCTGAATTGAAAGTGCAGTACAGCCTGGATAAATGAATTACCTGAGCAGCGGAACTTCTTGCTCTTGATCTGGCTGATTCGTTTGTTGGCAAGGCGACGCGGATTGCTGCATCGAGCGCCGCTGGTTTCTATCGGATTATCCTGCAGGTAATCAGCCAGCCACTTCAAATGGCAGTCGCACACAAATGGGTTCTGAGCTAAATGTCTGCGAGAAGGATGGGATGTTTAATCAGAAGTGACCTGTGACACTGTACTCCATCACTGTTTTTCACAAACGCAAACCTGAAGAGTAGAGTAATTGAATAAGCTTCCAAAAACCCAGGCCTGGCGGAAACCACACAGAGCTGCACATGAATGGGAGAATTCTGTGAGCTATCACATTTCATAGCTCATTAAGCCTGTTGCAAGTCCTTTCAAGAGGAAACAAAAATTAAGATAGTAAAGCCTGCTTTAAAGGACACAGACCTCCTGTCTACAAAGTCCAGTGTTTTCTCCTGAGAGGCTGATATGCTGCCTTTTGAGAGAAATGCCCCTTTTCAGATGCACCTGACCTGAACATCATTTTGTATCCTGGCTTAAAAGAAATTTTATTGGCAAGCTCAGCTTCCTAGGGATCAAAATGTGAATTAGTAAAGTGCCTTGGATCTGTGGGCAAAACCAGAAGTGATCCAGAGGTCTTTTCTCAAGAGTGAAATTGATATTTGCATATACTCATCACGCATAATAGTATTCCCCTTATGCATATTTTTTCCAGGACCAAAAATTTTTATTTTTGAGACTGAACTGTTCATGCAAGCTAGAACTTGACTCTGTTCTTCACCAGAATTTGCACAACGTATATCCCACACAATTGGAAATAGGTTTTATAGCGCTGATTTTAATAGAATATTTAGACGTTGCCAATAGAAATCTGATGTAGGATCTCAGAGAGAAACAGCATTTCCCTGTGGCTGTTATGATGCATTCTGCTTGACAAAGTTGAGCACCATATCAGGAGAATTAGTCAGGTCTTTCTCAGAGCCTGATTCTGATCTCAGTTAAGTTAAGTTGCATCAGTCCCTCTAACTTCCAAAGGAGCAGGACACGGCTCTGCAATAACTGCAAAGACAGTTTAAAAAAAGACAGATGTTTAAATTTGGTTTGGAGAGAAGTGTAAATTTATAGCCTCACAAGAACTCTGCTCTGTTACTGTTAGTGTGTTTTTTCCACCTGTAGAAACTTCATTTCTTTTCTGTTTGCAGTTATATTTCTGAACTGTCACTTAACAGAATAAGTATAAAATACAACAGGGCAAGGGCTGACAAGGAGTGGGAACTGAAAGCGTACATAGCAGAAAGTGCCTGAAGAAACTAAAGATTACTGTTGTAGTAGAGCCATTCCTGGTGTCAAACGTCCAAAGAACAAACAAGCATACAGAAACAGGATGTGGGATTGGTTTTGTAGCTCTAGACAAAAGGCAGAAAACGACAATCACTTGGGGCACTAAAAATGGGAGAATGAATCAAAACATTTAATGGAAGTGTTTCGGTGCAAAGCAACAAGTCCATTCTAAGTAACAGCCACCAGGAGTGCCAATAAAACCAAGGAGAAATTTTCATACCTTCAGGATATTGCCTGTTGTTTAACTTGACAAATCTTATATACCTCTGTAAATGAACTTTGTCTGTCGCCCTTGTTTACATATCTGTGTACGTACATAGCATCTTGCAGCAGAAGAATGCACGGTAGAGGTGGGGAGGCAGGACTGGGGGGCATCTGCACATGATTATTCTAATGTCTTAATGGTTTGGAGCAATACATACTGGCCAAGTATCTGCTGGGAATTAAGGTTGTGCTTGTGGCTGCCTGAGGAGATAGCAGATACCCTGCTGCTAGAAATCATCTCTATTAGTTCATTTTTATACGAACTAAAACATTTACAAGACTAATTTGGCCAATGCATTTCTAGTATTAAAATAGATATATGTGCATGTGTATACATACATTTCCAGTACTATAGTATGTGTAAGTATGTACGTATATAATGCGCGTATATATGCCAGTATGTGTATATATTACATACAGATATATATTTTAATACTGGAAATACATATACTTACATACTATATAAACATACAGAGCTTTATATCTATATATGCACGCATAAATATATAGAAACACACACACAATATTGGGTTAGGGGGTTCTTCCTTGTTTTTCATTTATATCAGGCTGCCAACTCCAGCTCTGAAGGAGTACTATTTACCTTATTATCTTACTACTCACAGCTTTAGGATGAAACCTTCTTCTGTAAAATATTGAGTCATTTCTATACTTTTGCTTCTGATCCCCCTTCTCTTAATGCATCCCATTCAAAGACTCTCAGAAAATGTTTAGTGGATTTTCATAATGGATCAAATAATACAATATATCACTTCCCTTAAGTGGAATGTAAGCTGAAATATGGTTTCAGACGTCACAAACTGTACAGTAGGACGCAGATCCAGTAAGGAGACATGCCAATTCACTACTTCATTAAAAACTGTTAGGCAATGGTTTTAATAGAATCTACTGTTCATATACTGTACAGAGTCAAATTCACATATTATCTTCCCAACAAAGAGTATGAATGAATTACTCTGGGAGCTTAATACACTTATGACATTTAAGTCACTAGGGCAGGCTGCATCTCTGCATCGATAGCTAGCTGTCCTGAATTTATGCAGTACTTCTCCTTCCTGCTCCTTTTACTTCTGCCAGAAAAGGAGAGGCTACTACCTTGGGGTCTCTTCCAAATGGTCTTAACGTCAGACATTTTGCCTTTGCAAAGACCAGCAACATCTTGGGGGGAAAAAAAGAGAGCTATCATTTATGATATGCTTGCATACTCACAGAGTCTGGATCGATCGGAGAGGTGCAAAGAGCCCCTTGCTGATGGTCTGCAGTTTGTTGTCATAAAGAGATAGCAGTTTGAGATTATGCAGACCTTGGAACGTGTTTACCCTCAGGCAGTTGATCTTATTGGCATTGAGAAGCCTGAAAACAGAGGAAAGGTTTATAATTCATTAATCTTGTAATAATCAAATAAAGATAGACTGAACTTTGGGGCTAAATCTAAAAAAGTATTAACCCAGTCACCAAAGCCAGCCCACGTTTAAAGGTCTTCATTTGCCTGTTATCTTAAAAAGGTGAAAAAAACAGTCAAAATTAGTACTCTCATATTTGGGGAATATACAGACATATAACAGTGTTAGCTATCTTAAAATAGTTAAGGATTTATTTATTTTTTGTATGCCCAGTCCTACCCCCCCAATTTGTTCAAAATTCTACACAAATATTTAAAGAAGTCTCCAGCTTAATATACATAGAAATGGCAAATACTGCCCACCTTGCTGTGCCATGCACACACTCATACACTAAGTCTACAAGGAGAACCATCTTTTTTTTTTTCCCCCCCTCCAATTTTCTCTATGAGCAGCTGTCTTAAGTCTAACTGAAATTCTGGAAATGTGACATCTTTTGATAAGCAGTGCAGCGTTAATTTGACCATGGAAGGAAAGATAACATGATTCTCCTCAGAGGGGCTCGATTAAAACTTACGGAAAAGCACGCTCAGTTTGTACCTAAAGGTAGTAAAGCAGTGGACCAGGTTGCTCAGAGGAGCTGTGCAGCCTCCATCGTTGGAGGTTTTTGAGATGAAACCAAATAAAGCCATGAGCAACCTGCTCTGACCCAATAAGGTGGCTTGGCTTTGAGCAAGGGTTCTCCAGGCTCATTGGTTAGTGATCACCTGAGCTCCCTTCCAACCTCCATTGTCCTGCGATGCTACAGACCTACTCCATTCCAGTTCCACCAGATTCCTGGGCAGTTGTGGAAAAGTAGCACAAAGGCAATCTCCCTTTTTAAGATACAGATTTTGCACAGCTACACAGCAGCCTTGTGGAAAAGTAGCACAAAGGCAATCTACATCCCTTTTTAAGATATAGATTTTGCACAGCTACACAGCAGCTAGTTGGCAGAACTAATCAATTCAGCCAGAAAATCTTGGATAGTACTTGTGCAAGTTCTCTTAGATTATCCAGCCAGCGTTCTGTCACATATAACAAGCATATACAATCCCAACCACGAGCTGGATCTGCCTCTGAGACAACCAAACACGAGAACACTTAAATTGTCATTGTCATCTGCATACGTGGTATTTGAAGGAAAACAGGCAGGAAATGACCCAGTCTTCTTACAAAAGGCAAAATCCACATCCTTTGACTAGTATCAGCCTGTGAAAAATGCTACGTTGCAAACAATACATGCTGTTAACTCAGCTCTCTTGGTCACAAAATGCTTGCTACTTTGTCAATGAGTTTGAAGGGCTTAATATTGCACCATTGTGGCTCTCTATGAGGCACCACACTAATAGTAAATCAGAAGACAAATGCATTTATAGGTACAAAGGAAAACACATCCTCCATTCCTCAGCAAGCAAATACACCATCTTAAACAGACCTCTAATAGCACAGGGAGCTTCCATTCTCAACAAACGGCACATACACCACTACAGACAACAGGACAATCTACCAGGGAAGAAATGCATGCTTGTTAGCTGCACACGATGCTTTTCTTTTGCTCCCAAAAATAACTTCAGAAGATGCTTCCTCTGCACAGCACCCTGCCTTTGCATTGCTGAGACCTTTGAAACATTGTACAGTCATTACAGCTCTCTGTTCCTACTCTCGTTTTGGCAGAGCCTCATTACCGCGGTAAATAGCTACAGTAACTGTGATACATAAAAGATGGACGAATACTTGGGTAGAGCCCTTCTCTGAAGGAAAACAGAAATGCAGAGCTTTGGAGTGAGAGGGTGTCAGAGCAGAACTCACCTTTCTAGCCTACAGAAAAGTCAATATCGATTTACCTGAATTTTCTTCATTATATGTTGTGGAAAACGAAGTTTGACATTAGATAAGAGAAAGTCACACAGAAGGGCCGTGATGGATAAATGAGGTTACATTTTCGCATGAACTAATAGCTAAAATAATTTTATGAAACCATAAGCAGTACTAGTATGACCCCTCTGGAATCTGTTGTTCAGTGACTGATAATTATGTGACACCTATACACACTCCTGTTGACTCCACCAGAAGTAACAGGGTAATTTTCGTATTAGGCTACAGGAACAGTTCCTCCCATGCACTTGACTTCTGAGATTTTGCTCCAACAGTAAACATCAGTGTCATCTCTTACTACTTCCTTCTTATAGCCATGCATATAAGCCTTCATATATAAGCATCTGAGCCTTCATTCCCTCTCAGTTCTCGGGCATTATGCATTTCTCTTTCAAGCTTGTACATTATCTTTTCCATAAAGAACAGGTCAACAAGTTATTAGAAGGCAGAATCAGCCACTGAGTTTTGAACAATATCCCCAGATACATACTTCAGTATTACGAATCCTTTGGTTTCTCCCCCCTGTCCTTGTGCACTGGTCCCACATTGTTTTTAGGTAATGCACATTAGCTTAAATTGGTCAATCTATGACAGAAGCTCGGTACCTAAGTTATACAGGAAGAAAACTGAACGCAAGTATGCACTTTGATTTATTTCACGATATGCTAATTTTTTTCTAATATTACAGTAATATTTTATGTTGTAAGCAGTACTTGTAACAAAGCATAAAGCAAAAATGAAAATACTCTCAGTAATAAGAGAATTTACAACTGAACTACAGTAGTATTTGTATATGTGGACAACCAGCATGTCTTTTTGCAATGCCCGAGAAGTGCGCACAGCAGAGCTATGTTGTGCAGATGCTATTCTCTCCTCTACAAAGAGTAGTCCTGAAGTCTAACCATCATTGATCTCACTTAATAAACCCTCAGAGCAAAGCTGACCTAGAACTGCTGTGAATACACAGGATTCAAATTCATTCTGTGATTAGTTTCAACCAAACATGAATAAACCCAATGCTGGAAATTAGAATTTACAATATGACAAGTTTTTCTGGCTTTTTCAATGACTAGATTCATGGTGATATAATCTGTGACATTTCTGCAGGAGCCAAATTCCAAAAATGAAAGAAACTGATCCTATACATAGCCACAAACAGAGAAGCACACTCTCTCCTTTCAGCATCAGATAAAGTAATTTGGAACAGGAAAGTGCCTGTACAGACTGTTTGTAAGTGGGAATTCAGGTACTGCACAGCTTTTCTGAGGTGATACCACCTACTCTGTATATCATCTAGGCAATATATGTGCGGTACCTAAATCTAAAAAGGACAGATAGTGTACTCAAGAGTAATACAGACGCGCCCATACTCAGTGGATCATGAGATAGATAAATGTCCTATTTCTGATCAGAATCAGGGAGAAAGGTGAGGGGAAAGTGAAACACTGTGAGAAAGCAGAATAAATCATCCTGAAAAATTTCTTCCTCCTACTTAGTGTGAGTTAGAGGATGACTTCTGGCAAGAAGCACTGTTTATATTTCTTACAAAACTCTCAGTTATTTTAAAATACCCCCTCTATGGATATTCCCCTATAGAAATTCCAATTCTTTCCTTATTCTTTCTTCACTATCACAGCCCTCCTAATGGCATCCAATTATTAATTAGGCATAAAAGGCTGGCTTCACATGGTGTGAAAAGTGGTTATAGGAATCTATTTTTAAACTAACACAAAGACAGATGAGAAAAATGTATTCTAGGAAGCAGAAACACTGATCTTCCTTAAACACTGAGCCATGCTGTAAAACTTACTAAGGATTCCTTTCATTGGACTCACACTAAAAGAAGGGACAACATTAAAAACTGAGTCTTATTTAGCACGAATTACGTGGTTTTATTTTGCACCAATTTATGGTGAAAGTAAATTCCACTAATTTTCCTACTCTGTTATCAGCCTGATTGGATGAGATTTGCACACAGCCTCCAGATGTGGTGCAGTGTTCAAAAGGAGGTTAAAAATTCAAGTAGAAATAAACCCGCCTGCTACCCAGAGGGATGATGGATTATTAACTCAAGTCTCCATTTTCATCCCTCCGGATACGTTAAAAACATGAAGAAATCTCTTTCAAGCCTAGGACCACCACAGAATACAGGAGAATGGTTAAAGACCTTGTGGTTTACACACCACTGAAAGCAATGAGCAGAGCAGAGCAGTATCACAATTCCATGAACCCATGTCCTGAAAAAGTGAATTTGTCCACACACATTGAAATAATAACGTGTTTCAGCTAAGCCCTTTGAATGAACGTGTACTGAATTGGCACTGTAGTTGTATCAGATGCTCACAAGCACCATCTGCATAATTAAGATGGTCCCATAATTGAATTATATGCCCAAGCACAGTTTCAAGTGATTAACATTTAAATAACATTTTGAACTCCAAATGCAAAATGATTGAAAAAATTGTTTTTTAAGAGCAAATGGGGATGTTCATATGGCTTTTACCCTTAGCAATGTTTGTATTTTCAGTGCAGTGAAGTCAAGTAATCAAACTATCAGCAAATAACTACATAACTTGGGGAATGAAACAGCAGCCTAGCAACCTTAACACACGCTGGAGGCTGAAGGTTGATTTCTGTTGCTACAGGATGGACCAGAAATCATCCTAGGTACATTAATGAGCCAAAAGGAAAGTGTCGGAGAAAAGCTGCACAGAGCCACTGGAAAAATTCTCTTTCTTTTTCACTAGCTTTGTGTTTTGACAGCAACGACAACATGATGAGAATGAAAATGTTCGGCATCCCATGAACTGGCTGGCACATCCCACATGCCAGACTCCACTGGGGAAAACGAGAACTCACCAGAAAAAGGCAGATATAAAATGCATAGGAGAATTGTATGGAAGAGGAAAACTGGGTAACAGTTTTGCATAGGTAACAGCAGAATGCAAATTGAAAAAATATATATACTTTTCTAGAATATCGATAGTCAAAGGCTTCATCTACATTCAAAGGCACTATAGGGCAGCAAATAATGGACTCATGGCAAAAAGCATTCCTTATGATATACAATACCTGTTACAAAAAGTCAAAAAACTT